ATTCTCATTCATGCAGGTCATAGTCAGTCCAAAAAAGTAAAAAAATAATCCACTGGACTTCAAAGTTTGAAGACGTTTCGCTTCCCATTCAGGAAGCTTTTTTAATTCAAAATGTCAGAAATAGTGTTGAGTTTGAGGCTTTATAGAGGGGACCAACAAAGCCTTGTTTTTGCTTAGAAAACATGCAAATTGAAACGGACGAAATGGTCCACCCCTTTGGAATGGAAGTCATTTGTCTTGTGGATTGTTTTTTAACTTTTTAGAAAAGTGAAATATTCCTCTAGTTTATCACAATCATTGCTAAATAACTTTCTTTCTATTCGTCCCATAGGGAAAGACTAGTGAAGGTGCCACTGTACCAAGGGAAATCACGAGCACTTCAACTGGAGAACGAACCCCTCTGCTACAAGTCAAGAAACACTGATGAACTCCCAGAAAAAGGACCCAGCTTGTATCGTGTCCTGAGACACGGACTCAGGATATGGAACAAGATGCCAAAAGCCATGCTATATTGGAAAGTTTACAAAACACTCAGCCAAAGATGCGACTGTTGGCAGAGTGAACGGTCTTACACATTTTAAACATGCTGTTTTTTTTCTCTCTCACTGGTCATCTCAGCTATGCTGGACTATTTTAGATTTTTATGACTTCTTCTGCTACAGCAGTGGATTATAAACTGCTGTGGATAAATGATTTGGTTTTGACCACAAGGGAACTCGTTTTATTTTCAGCCAGATGTTTAGTGTTTTAAACACTGATGGGCTTTTATTATTGAAGAGAATAGAAATAGAAATGTCCTTTATTGTCCCACAGTGGGGAAATTTCAGGAAATTCATCATGGGAATTTGTTTAGTCCAGTTTATTTCCAAGTTGTTGTATTTTTCTATGCACTGAGGATTCTTATTAGAAAGTGAGCTTGTTTTTAACCCTTACCACAGTTTTGCACATCCAGATGTGACAATCAGCTGAGAGGAGGACACACACTCCTTATTTACTACATACGTCTTTTATAAGAGTTTAAATGTGTTTGTTCAACATGATGTGGATAAAGCTGTTAGCGGTTCAGCTGACATTGCTTGTTCAAAATTGTTTAAATGAAGAGAATCGTATTATGGAAAGAATTGCACTGATGATTGATATTAGTTTTGACTGACAGTGTCCAAGATTTTCACTCCTCCTAAACTTCTTTTCTCATTTTCAGTGGATGTCAACTTCTAATGTCTTTTTTTTCCCATTTGTGGAAGGTTGAAATGTGAATAAACTAATCTTTAAGAAATACATTGTAGAATTTATTCTTTGAAGAAAAACAGACATTTTAACTTTAAGGTGAATACAAGCCTTTCAGCAGAAAAATTCAGTTTTTCAAAGATTACTTTCAACCAAAATCCTTCAACCATTTTGATTGGTTTAAAAAAAAAAGAGCATCTCAAAGCGATCCTTCGAAGTCCAAGAAAATGAGGAGACCGGAAGAGTTTTGGCTGTGGATTCAAACAGGTCTACCCTTCGACGGGTTTTACCACCGTAGGCTATGTTGCTTAGCAACCAAATGACTTGTACAGCGCTTTGATCTTAGCTTTGGCTGACTGAAAGCGCTTTATAAATAAAGTTGAGTTGAGTTGAGTTGAGCAACCGTGACAGTTGACATACAAAGCAGGAAAAGAATGAATACCGAAGTTTTCAAAACAGTTTATTTCTTTTTTTTTTATTGAGTGGAATAAAGGTGCCAACCACTGGGAGCATGAACAAATAAAATCAAATGTAATGATATAAACCTTAGTGAGTTATATAACATGCTGCTGTCAT